TTTCTAGGCACAATACTTTGTGGGGGAGAAAAACAAATATTATCATGTGGGGTGAGGGCAGGTTGCCACTGTGGGCTGGGGACGAGACAGCGCCAGGCTGTTCCTGGTGCGGGGGACTGGGCCTGGCTGAGCTCAGGGCAGGTGGTGGTGTTAGGAGAGGGCTACAAGGGGGGCGGGGCTGCAGCCACACCAAAATTTGCCACAGCCTGGCCCACCTGCGCACAGATCCAGGGACCCCCTCCCCCACCCCATGCCCTCCTGGGGTGTACGCAGGGGCGAGAGCCACCCCCTGCACCCCTCAAATAATCTGGTTACGGCTCCTTCGTGCACCCTGCCCTGGCCATGCAGCGTCTGTCCCTGCCCCACTCTCTCCCTCACCGCAGGGGCCTCAATTTGCCACCCCTTCCCCCCCACACCAGACTTACCAGCCAGATGCTGCTCTCCAAACTGCCAGGCTGCATTCCTCGGCATGTGCATACTGCGGTTGTGCACATGCACGGGGCATTTATCGGCCATATCAGGCAAAAAAAAGCCAATTTCCAGTGCTGTCAATTTTCCCTATATTGGTGCTAATCCGATATGGGACTGATATATCGGTGCACCTCCTAGTTAAGATTCTGTTACTTTTGAGGGAGTGAATAGCACTGAAAAAAAGACTTACACAGGGTAAGTTTATAACCCACAAACATTGTGCAGTTCAACATGAAATAGAAATTAATGAGACTAGGCCAGTAACTAATTAGTTACCTAATTTATGTTTTAAGAAGACAAAGTAGAGTTCCAACAGGAAAACAGTTGTGCTGTTGTGCACCAATTTTTAATAGCAAATGAACCACTCTGCTGTGCAGTAAAGTACATCATACTCTGTTTAATGGTGTAACCTTAGGGCTTTAAAAGGTTATGCACTTACCTGAATTTAATGTAAACAGTTGGTGCTTAGCAGGTTCACATCATTGTCAGTGCTGAGATAGTGGCAGCCCTGAAACTGACTAGCTTTGCTCTGCTGTCAGTAAAGAAATAGATTTATCCAACTTTGACCCTGTTCTGTATTAAATTATCCTTTTTGTTCCTGAAATAATTAGCACGTTGCATTGTTGTTAGATGGTGCTATGTGCAGGGTTTGAAATCTAGGGATGAGGGTCCCTGGCCTGCCTCATTCTGCTCCTTTCTAAGCAGCTCAGGTGGCAGCTGCGACAGGTTCTTCTGGCTTCCAGTTGCTACCACCACAGACCCCCCTCCCCAAGAGTCTGAGTGTAATTTGAACCCTGGCTACGTGAAGAACTTTTCTAAACCAAGCAGAGATTCTCATTCAGGCCCCTTTATTTTAATATAGTATATACGATAAAAATCAATTTATAACCAGTGAGTTTAACTGTCAGCCCACTAAATCACAAGCCCTGTAGTTTTGCAGGAAAATGCATAGGGAACTGTATTACTGCACCGATGGGGTAGGCAGAATGCGATGAAGGAAGAACTACAGGGCTGGGATTTTGTGATCACAGAGTACCTGTTTTGTGTTTTTGGTGGTGGTTGTTCTGCTTTGTGCTGTTTTTCAAGTACTTTGTTGTAGTTGATACTGTCTTTGCATCACAAATGTATGTGTGAAGGTTTCAGTCGTAGTTCTTAATTGTGTTACCTCAGCCTCTCACCATCAAAAAGTGGAAATTTAGCCATATTACTAGGGAAGAGTACAAGACTATCACACAGGCACGCAGGAAGACAATCAGGATGGTTTGCAATGTAACTAGCAAGGATTCTATAAATCAGTCAGAAGTAAAAGGAGGGCTAAGGAATGTGCAGGTCTCTTACTGAATGCAGAAGACAATCTAGTAATGGAGAAGGCTGAAGTAATTTATGCGTATTTTACTGTAGTCTTCATTAATAAATTGGCTACTGGAAAATGAGTGTAGTAGACAGCCAGGATGGGGGAAGAGATAAATAGCTTAGAGTAGTGAAAGAACAGGTTAGGGTTTACTTGGAGAAGTTGGAGGTTTTCAAGTTGACAGAGCCAGACAGGATGCCTTCTGGGTAATGGATAATTTGGCTGAAGCAGTTTTAAATCCATGGACTGTCATCTTTGAGAACTCATGGAGTTTAGGTGAGGTCCCAGATGACTGGAAAACAGGCAATTATAATGCTCATCTTTAAGACATGGAAAAAGGAGGAACTATGAATTATAGACTAGTCAGTCTGACTCCAAGAAAGATTTATGGAGCTGGTCATCTTTCTAAATATGTTGGGGAGAACAAAGTGATCAGGAACAGTTAGCCTCAGTTTATCAAAAACATGCAATTGGAGTTGCAGCTAGTAAGGGATGTGAAGGGTAACAAGAAAGGTTTCTACAAGTATGTTGGCAGCAAGAGGAGGATCAGGGAAAGTGTGGGTCCCTTGCTGAATGGGGGAGGCAGCCTTGTGACAGGGGATGCAGAAAAGGCATCCCCTGCTCAATGCCTTTTTTTGCCTCAGTCTTCAAAGGCAAGT